TGCCGATCCAGTAAACTCTCACGAGACCTTGTTCTCCTGTACTCTTCCAGTCTCAGCTTCTGTGAGAGTGCTTGCTTCTGGTCTTCAGCTTCCTTTTTAAGTGTCTCCTCTGCCCTGCCTCTAAGTACAGGGCTCCTCTGGTTCAGCCTATTTCTCCCGCTTTTGCCTTGTGGTGCAGTTCACACTTTATAGCTGAGACTCCCAGCTCTGCAGCTGCACCGGATTTCTCCCAGTGGCTCTGTTCCTGTGTCGGCCTTTTCCCTGGATATCTTCACCCATGTGTTCCCAAAGCAAGTGCAGATTCTCCTTCAGTGCCACATCTCCTGATATTTCCTGTCTTGGTGATATTTCTACTCACCTCTCCCTCACACCAGAAATTCCCATGTGTTTCTTATTCTCTTCTCCGCTCACCTCTCTCATTAGGAATCTGCCTGGGTTCCTGAGTGAGCCTCTTTTCTCCCAGGGTGTGGTCGCTACCACTGCACTGTCTGAGTTCGGTCTGCATCTAACCTCACAGGATGATGAACTTTTGCTAAAACTCAAACCTGCCCAGTCTCCTTAGAGCTCTCCAATGTGCTAATCCCCAGCAAACAGATATCTAGTAGTATTTGCCAAATGATCAATGACCAGGGGCCCCTCAGTGCCTGAGGCTGGAGCTCATCTAGATTACAGGTTGTGTTGCACACAAGCTTTTGAGGGTTTCAGCTGAACCTTTGCATTACAAGTTTGATTTGGAAGTTCCTGAAACCAGAATGAATATCACTACTATACTGTCACAATTTATCGCCCTGTGATGATAAGGCTCACATGCCTATATTTGTATCTGTCTTTTAGTTATAACGTACTGAATTTTATTGAGACTTTTTTTGAAAAGAGACTTCTTTAAAAATAAGGTTTATTCCCACCTCTTTCACCGGAAGAGTGTCACCTGTGTGTGTTGGATTTCTGCTTCATGAAGCAAAGATTATTTATAGTTTGACAACTCTTGTTTTGATTTCAGTTCTTTAAGGCTTTCTACATTTGTTCGGTTTTAACAAACAATTGTTTAAGAAGTGGTTACTTGAGAACAACTTGACAAAAAAGAAAAGGAATATGTAGTGGTGTAATAGACGTAAAACATGTTCATTGTGTGAGAGGTAGGAAAACTTGGGCATGATATTTCTTTGACTCATCTTTAATTTTTATGTAATGCATCAGTATACTTTGTGTGTGTGTTAAAATATAACACCATTTTATCCATTTTATGCATGTACAATTCTATAGCATTAAGTGTATTCACATTTTTGGATTACTTCAGCGTACTTTTCCCTGCATTCATTATATTGAAGCAATGTAATATTTTCACAAATGAAAGCCAAAACTGTGGTTGCGCCAAATAATCAGATTTTCCCTAGTTTGTGAGTGTGTTGTAAAGAAAACGATTTGTTTGTTGAGTTTTGCTAAGGAATTTGTAGCACGACTAATGTTCTTAGGCTCAGAGAGAAGTGTGTCAGTGGGGATTAATGGAAACAGGTTTATTAATTTAGCTTATGTGAGTAAATTTTTACAGTTTTAGTTCAATAAATGTTTAAAGAGCTAAAAAATTTACTGTTACATAAGAAAAGGACTCATTTAACTATGATTGGAGTCCTAATCCTAATGGGGTAAGCAAGAGTGTTGTAGAAAATAATGAAGAAAATCCCCAATATTTGGCCATTTCTGCCTATTATTTCAAAATGATTTCTAAGATTAAAAATGAGCCTATAACATGGGATTGAATAGAAGTTATCTTTGGGATAATGCTTATATGTAATCAATGTCTTGTGCTGTTTTAACAAAAGAATAAAATGTATATCTCTTTTCTGATTTAGGAAATGATTCTTGATACTGATGATTAAATCTTTTATAAAATACTCATTTAATTTAAGAATACAGTGGACCAAAATGTGAAGTGTTATCTGGAACATTTAGACTCCAGCTCCATTTGGTTTATTTGAACTTGTTTAATTGTGATCCCTTCATGGGAAATATTAATTTGGAAATTTAAACATGGAATAATAGGAAATGGGACTGGACTGGACATCTGAGTAATTCTCATGCCACATAAGACAGAGGTGTCACAGTGTGTGCACTGCTCATCCCTGGGGACTGGAGCCTGGTTTGTTGTTCTTGTTCCAAGAGAAATGCAGAAGATGGAGTGGATGGGGCCTTCAGCCTCCTGCCTTCATTCAGAGTGAGGAAATTTAGCTTTGAGAAAATGAAAGATCCTTCTACTGCATAAAAATCTACTAGATAGCTGTTTGTCAGGACCCCTGGAGCCTGTTCAGCCATCTGCTTAGCCAGAGGCCGAGATGATCACATCTGAGCTGATGATGAACCTGCTTCTCTGGGAACATGCCCAGAGCACCTGCCTCTCCAGGCCACAGGAAGCAGCAGTGGAGCACTCCATTCCTTGGACTGTTTCTGCCTGTTCACCTTAACCACTCCTTTCTCTCTGCAGATTGGCCAGGACCTTCCTGAGGGGGACACAGGCATGGTGGCCAGGAAGATGGTCAGGAGGTTAGGGGTTGTCTGCCCTCTGTGTGCCCTGAACATTTTCCTCACCCCCAACTTCTGCAAAGCCAGTGTGTAGCATGAATGTTGAAAGAACAGTGATTGTACTCTGAGTCAGAAATTTTCCTTTATTGCGGCAGAACGACAGGAATGCTGGAGTTCGGAACCTTTTCCAGCATATTTTAATATAAATATTCTTGGCACCTGGCATCAGCAGACAAGCTAATTACTTGTTCACACATGCTTTGGCCAGGTTTTCACTCATTTGGGGCCTTGTAATAACTTTGGATGTTGTCCTTTGTGAGATAACAAATTAGAATCACTTCTTTCTCCAGATTCTAGGTTTTAAGGCATTTTGGGATGAGTTTTCTAATCATGTAGGAATTGCAGATCAAGGCAGGATGTAAGCATTATGGGGCAGGTTGATTCTTTTGTGGACTTGAAAAATTTGTTTCTCAATTGAATCTTCTCTTACTAGGGGAAGCCTTGATTTAAGAAGATATTGTCACAAAGTGGAGAGGATAATGGGAAAGCTACTGATGGTGATGGCAGACACATGGGACACAGGACCCTCTTTTCCCATTTTAGGCTTATGAGGAACTACTGGGGATTTTACCGTCCTGCTGACAGTTCTGTTTGGAGCATGGTCTTCTTACACAAAAACAATTTTTAATCAGAAAGATCTCAGTGTGAAAGGCAAGTCACACAGCTAGCTTTAAAAGTGGAGTCACAGTCTCATTTACCTTTGCAGTTCAGTCTCTCTTTGTTTTATGTGGTGGATGAATCCCATTCCAGCCTTGCCATTAGGTGCCTGCCTCGGGGTGTGGAAGAATGCGCACAACCCCTGATATTTCTGCATGTGTGATTGTGAAATATTTAAATGGGTCCTAATAGAACATGTTCATATAAATAGCTGAAGAGTTATGGCTGTTTTTTAACTTAAGGGTGAGGAAATTGACCACTTTGGGATAATTAAAAATCGCAACTCTCTGGGAAAGCAGGAGCTAAGTTGTCAAATGCCAGGGCATTGAGGAACAATATTCCGTACTCTAAATTGGGTAATTTATATCTTTGTCACTTGGAGATCTGATACACATTGGAGTCGATGAATCATCCTACCAGCATCACAGAACTAAAGCGAATTTTGTTTCTTTTTCGCAGGTAGGGCTTTAGACAATTGAATAATAAATCACTTTGCTTTTCCCAAGTCATAGCATAGGAAGGCCTAGTTGAATGGCCTCTGAGAAGAGATTCTGCCCTGTTTTAAGAGTATCAATGGTGCTATATTTCTAGTGTATCACTAGTGATTTGTCTTCAGTATTCCGAAGTCGAGGATGAATTCAGTTCTTGTAGCTTCCAGGACGCTGGTCAGCATCTGCCTGTGTTCTCCCAGGGGTGGTCCTAGATGTGTGTCATACACTCTTTTCCTTCCCCAGGAGTAGCCTTGTATGCACTTAACTTTATGAAGAATAGTCAGGAGCATTTTCTCTTTTGAGTCACACAATAAAGTGTATTATGTATACTAATTCCTGTTTGAGAGCAGAGACTAAGAGTGAGGTTAAGTGACTCCCCCAAAGTGGTATTTCCAGTGAGTAGAATACTAGCAGCTTGAGCTAGTTACTTTTTAAATGAGAGGGTGGGTTTCTTCTGGCAAGTTTATACATGCACAGACATGATCTGATCTCTCCACCCTGCTTCCCTTTTGCCTCCTCACCCCTCCCTTTTTCCCTTCTTTGAGACAAGTTATTTTTGACCTAAGGACAATGCCCTTTGTAGACATGGTACCGCCTCTTTCAAATGCATATAAAATTGGGCACTGTCAGTTTACATTAAGATGCTCTGGGGAAATTTGTTTGTGAGGAAAGAATTTGAATTGATAGGTGGTTGGGAGCATTATTAAATCGAGTAAAAGGTCTAAACAGAGGAATGTATAAAGAAGTATACAGTTTGAAGCGGTACCTGTAAGTGTAAAGGAACGGACATACTAGATAGTGTGGCCAGTCCGAGATGGACAGGAAATCCCTCCTGCTGTGTTCTGAGCATTCAGAAGACCTGGCCTGGATTTCTCAAGGGCATGGGTGGGAGACCCACATGCACTCAAGATGCCAGCCACCACCTGGTAGGTTTAACCTGCATATGATCTCCTGGACTCAACAGGTGATGCTTGATGTCTTGTTGGAAGGGGTTCCTGAGAAATCTGCTGGAATAAATAAAGACCAGTGATGTGTTCATAATGCTTTCTTTTAATTGAAAGGACATATGAACATTTGAAAAACAAAATTCTTTCGGCCTGATCATGACAAATCTGTTCAGTGTCCCTTTTCTGACACAGTGAAGGGTAAATATTAGGCAGGCCTCTGTTCACGTTTCCACACTCACCAAGTGGTATCCGAGAAGTCCCTAGAGTGTTTCCACATGTGTTTATTTTCTAAAGGAGCTTGATTCATTTTTTGCTGATTACTTTACAGGATCCTTCCAACCAAAAATGCAGCGGGAGGAAGAAGACGGTGTCTTTCAGCAGCATGCCCTCGGAGAAGAAGATCAGCAGTGCCCATGACTGCATCAGCTTCATGCAGGGCGGCTGTGAGCTCAAGAAGGTGCGGCCCAACTCGCGCATCTACAACCGCTTCTTCACCCTGGACACTGACCTCCAGGCGCTCCGCTGGGAACCTTCAAAGAAAGACCAGGAGAAGGCCAAGCTGGACATTGCGGCCGTCAAGGAGATCCGACTAGGGAAGAATACGGAAACTTTCAGGAACAATGGGCTGGCGGACCAGATCTGTGAGGACTGTGCCTTTTCCATACTCCATGGGGAAAACTACGAGTCTCTGGACCTGGTGGCCAACTCTGCCGATGTGGCCAACATCTGGGTGTCTGGGTTACGGTACTTGGTGTCTCGCAGTAAGCAACCCCTGGATTTTATGGAGGGCAGCCAGAACACCCCACGGCTCATGTGGTTGAAAACAATGTTTGAAGCTGCAGATGTCGATGGGAATGGGATTATGTTGGAAGATACTGCTGTTGGGTTAATAAAACAACTCAACCCTACCCTGAAGGAATCCAAGATCAGGTTAAAGTTTAAAGAAATCCAGAAGAGCAAAGAAAAATTAACCACCCGAGTGACAGAGGAGGAATTTTGTGAAGCTTTTTGTGAACTTTGTACTCGGCCAGAAGTGTACTTCTTACTTGTGCAGATATCGAAAAATAAAGAATATTTGGATGCCAATGACCTCATGCTATTTTTAGAAGCAGAGCAAGGGGTTGCCCACATCACTGAGGGTATGTGCTTGGACATCATTAGGAGATTTGAGCTTTCTGAGGAAGGGCGTCAAAAGGGGTTTCTCACCATTGATGGCTTTACTCAGTACCTTTTATCACCAGAATGTGACATTTTTGATCCTGAGCAAAAGAAGGTTGCTCAAGATATGAGCCAGCCCTTATCTCACTACTACATCAATGCCTCCCATAACACCTACCTAATAGAAGACCAGTTCCGGGGCCCCGCTGATGTCAACGGCTATGTCAGAGCTTTGAAAATGGGCTGTCGAAGCATTGAGCTGGACGTGAGTGATGGTCCGGACAGTGAGCCAATCCTTTGCAATCGAAATAATATGACCACACAGCTGTCCTTCCGGAGTGTCCTGGAGGTGGTTAATAAGTTTGCCTTCGTTTCTTCCGAGTATCCACTCATCCTCTGCCTGGGGAATCACTGCTCCCTGCCCCAGCAGAAGGTCATGGCACAGCAGATGGAGAAAGTCTTCGGTGATCAACTCTACACGGAAGCCCCTGTGTCATCTGACTCCTATCTCCCTTCTCCAGAAAAGCTGAAGAGGATGATAATCGTGAAAGGAAAGAAGCTGCCTTCTGATTCTGATGTGCTGGAGGGAGACGTCACAGATGAAGATGAAGAAGCCGAAATGTCTCGCAGGATGTCTGTTGAAGACAGCGGCGAGCAGAAACAGATTCGGCTTTGTCGTGAGCTGTCTGATTTGGTATCCATTTGTAAATCTGTTCAGTACAGGGATTTTGAACTGTCTATGAAAAGCCAGAACTATTGGGAAGTTTGTTCATTTAGTGAAACAGAGGCCAGCCGAATTGCGAATGAATACCCAGAGGATTTTGTGAATTATAATAAGAAGTTTTTATCAAGGGTCTACCCAAGTGCCATGAGGATTGATTCCAGTAACTTGAACCCACAGGATTTCTGGAATTGTGGCTGTCAGATTGTGGCAATGAATTTTCAGACTCCGGGCCCAATGATGGACCTGCATACGGGCTGGTTCCTTCAGAATGGGGGCTGTGGCTACGTTCTGCGGCCGTCTGTCATGCGTGATGAAGTTTCTTACTTCAGCGCCAACACAAAGGGCATTGTGCCTGGTGTGTCTCCTCTGGCCCTGCACATCAAGATCATCAGTGGCCAGAATTTCCCAAAGCCCAAGGGTGCATGTGCCAAAGGGGACGTCATTGATCCTTACGTCTGCGTGGAGATACACGGAATCCCAGCAGACTGTGCTGAGCAGAGAACTAAAACTGTACAGCAGAACAGTGATAATCCTATTTTTGATGAAACTTTCGAGTTCCAAGTAAACCTTCCAGAGCTGGCCATGATTCGTTTTGTGGTTCTGGATGATGACTACATCGGAGATGAGTTTATAGGGCAGTATACCATCCCATTTGAATGCCTGCAGCCCGGGTACCGGCATGTTCCCCTGCGCTCCTTTGTGGGCGACATCATGGAACATGTGACCCTGTTTGTCCACATAGCAATAACTAATCGGAGCGGTGGAGGGAAGGGGCAGAAGCGAAGCCTCTCAGTGAGAATGGGGAAGAAAGTCCGGGAGTACACCATGCTCAGGAACATCGGTCTCAAAACCATTGATGATGTCTTCAAGATGGCGGTTCATCCCTTACGAGAAGCCATGGAGATGAGAGAAAATATGCAGGTAGGAGAAGGAGCCTCGCACTCCTCCCTTCCCTTCTTATCTCGCCCTTCTGTCAGAAGGGTACATCATGCTGTATTAATGATCCGATTGGCAGGATGTGACTACAAGTGCTGTGTCAAGTACAGATTGCCGAAGCATACCCAGTGGCTCCTGGGACACAGTAGATATGTTTTGTTTCTAATTGTGAGCACAGTGATTAGTTCGGCTTCACCTAAGCCAGTTGAATGGAGAATCAACGTAGTAAAACGCTGCATGCCCCTTAGACATCCTTAGTGCACAGCAGAATTGATATGTGCCCAGAGATGGAGTGCTGTGAAGAGTGAAGACATGTATGTGACATAAAATATGCATTCAAATGCTAATTGCAAGTGTATGTATAAATATTTGCAGACATGAACATGGAGGATAATTTGAAGTCAGAACAAATGTAATACCTGTTAAGTTTATTTTTTAGTTGCTTCAATGTGTAATTATAAATTAGCACTCACAAGAACAAACAAAATTCAGCAGTTAAATTTGCTGAAAATGATTTAGCCTTCTCTTAGAAATATGGTTTAATTAAAAGAACATGGGTTCCAGTTACATCTGTGTCTGTGATCTGGAGATCTTTAGTTTAGGTTTCTGATAACATCGGTTTTCTCCACATAAGGTAGGAGATGTAGTTACACTTACACAACAGTGTCAGAATGTGAATTCAGGGAGGTGGACATTGACTGGCTCACCGTGGGGGAGTCCATGCTGTACATGAATGGGTATGGTCAGCTGCTTACACTTTCTCACCCTGTCCAGGCCAGCACTGCTGTCAGACAAGTACTAACTCCGTCTCTGCAGAGTGTGACAAGAACACTACCCAATTCACTGTGTGCCTTTAGCTCATGGGTTCTGTAATGGTCCTCCTCAAAAGTTACTACATTCAAGACAGCAAATAAACTTGAGGAGGGTCAGTAATTTGTCAAATGTTGCACTGAATAAATAGCAATGTTAAGCTTTCCATCTAGGAGGGCCTAACACCAAAGCCTGTTGTCTCTCATGGGGTACAGAGCCACAAACCCATGACTCAAGGAAAACTTTTTTATTATATCACTTTAACAGAGAAATACTGGAATAGGCTTAAAGTAGATTTTAAATTGCCCAAATGGTAGAAAACAGTTGTGTACATAAATCACAGTGGATTGTAACTACTTGCTTTGAGGTGTGTTGCCTTCACCACTATTTTGAAATGGGCTCAAAATAGCCTCTTCTGTGTGGCATTTTCTGATACTATTTTTACATAGTTGTACATCTTTATATTAGACATAATTTTATTATATAACTTCATATATTATAGATACATTTTATATATTTCTATATGTTTCTTTAAATATATCCTTTATACCTTTTATATATTTAGAATATATATTAAGAAGAGCTGGTTGTAAAGTTTTCCCAGGAAGTACTCATAATTTATATATCTTACCATGAAGTATTTTGGGCTGAGAATAATTTGGAGCTTAATCATTGGAAAAATGAATATAATCATTGTCATTAAATTAATGAGACACTTAGTAGCTAGATACTGTTCACTGTTAATAAAATGGAAAACTTTCATACTTCCCATTTAAGATGATTTCTTGCTGTAGTGTGGATGAATGCAGCTCAGTGTGAAATGCATTTTCAGTGTGTGTGTGTGGTTTCTGGGGGTGACAAGGCACTCCACCCATGGGCGGTTTGGGCACAGAGGGTGAGCAGCTGCAGCCATTGAGGGGCAGCTCCATGGGAGGTGTCTCACAGGGGCCCCAACACTGCAGACCAGAGAGGTGTGAGCCGGCCACTACTGCCTGCTCTGCTCCAGTCCCCTCGAGCCTGGCCTCCCCCTGCTCTGCTCAGGGAGTGTTTGAGACAGCCACTAACACCAAGTGGACAGAGTCTGGTGTGATGGCAGTGCCCTCGGCACACTGGTGTGGTTGTGACCCACTGTGCTCGGTGATGATGGCCTCGAAATGTCCTCAGCCCCGTGTCAACCACTGACCATGCTCTCTGCTCTGCCCGCAGAGTGCCATCGTGTCTGTGAAGGAGCTGTGTGGGCTGCCGCCCATTGCCAGCCTGAAGCAGTGCCTGCTCACGCTGTCCTCGCGGCTTGTCACAACTGACAACAGCCCCTCCGTCACGCTGGTGATGAGAGACACCTTCCCGTACCTGGAGCCTCTGGGCGCCATTCCTGACGTGCAGAAGAGGATGCTGGCTGCTTACGACCTGGTAGGGGGGCCCCAAGGTGTGGTCTGTGTGTGTCCGGGAAACACATGCTTGAGGTTATCTCTTCTGATACACGAAATGCGAGAGAATGGAAGACACCGTGGACAGATGTGCTGCAGAGGGAAAAGGCAGTTCCCTCCTTCCCTCTTTAAAAAACATAAACATGTAAAGCACACTTAATCTTAGGATGAGTTTTTAATTAGAGAAGTTAAAGACGCACAGTGAGCCAGGAACCAGGGTGTCACCTGATCTTAGCAGCTCTGGAGCTGGGGGTAGGAGGGCTGCTAGAAGCTGGCCTCCCTCAGCCACATAGTGAGACCCCCACCTCTAGTAAACTTAAAGCAATGAGTAAAAAACCCATTCCATCACATTGATACGTTGCTTTCTCTTTGGAAACCTGGTTCTTCTGATCAAGGATTTAAGGAAAGGAGTGCTCCCATCCTTGTACCTCTAGTGGACAAACGGATGGATGTGTGTGGGATTTAGAGAAGAAGTTGACAATAGAGCTCAGAATATTTATTAGCTGTATCTGTAGATTTCCTTTTTAGGACTTATTCTAAGACAACAGAGATGTGAATATTTATTTTAATGACAATAGAAAGGGATCCGTTAAATCGAATGTAATATTCCATATATTCCTTTGAAGTCATCACAGCAGCAGTAGATGGATGTGTAATGACAGAGGCATTGCCATCTACTTGGTGACAGTGTCCTGTTACAGCTCCTGTTACAACCCTGCTGGGACTGTGTTCTGGGTGCATCTGCACCGCGAGCAGGGCTCCAGTGCCAGGAGCTTTTGTGCAAGGAGAAGGAAGGATCTGTATCTCCCCCGTGCTTGCCAAACTCTTTACAAGGACTGCGAATTCTGTTCATAACAGTAGATGCTGAGGAAGAAAATACGAATACAGCATCAGAAACCAGCACGCAGGGTGTGTTAGCCGAGTGTCCCCTAAGCGGGTGTGGGGGTAGGGGTTCACCTCAGGCCTGAGTCTCAATTTTCTTGAAATCAATATTTTCATCATAAAAAGCCAGCATTGAAAGCTGTTCAGTGAATAGGTATAATTGCCATCTAAAAGGTGAAATTAGGGTCCCAGTTACCATAGAGACAGACAGCTGAGATCACTTCTTATCTGTAGGAGAGAGAAACCCACTGGGGCACAGTTTGTGATGAGCACAGGGCTTGGGTGTTTCTGGCTCATCCCACTGATAGTGCTTTTTCTTCTCCTGTTTCTGTTAAAGCTGAACCCAAGCATGCACTTCTTGTCTGACTGTTAGATGCAATGTGCAGTAGAATGTGGTTTTCCAAAAATTTAAAATAGGCTGCTGTGGGCAGCAGAAACCCTTCAGATGAGACCTGGAATTGGAGCCCCATGAGGGATGTAGGGTAACTGTCTCTGTACCAAAGCGACAGCCTGGAAGGGGCTCCACAGTCATATATTAGGGCTGCATGGTACTTGGCATCTTTAGTGCTTGTGGTGGATAAGGTGTCTCCAAAGACCCTCCACAGACCCAGGGATCGTGTGTGAAAACAGACAGACATATCCTGTCCCTCTCCTCAGTTCAGCAAGAGCTCTCACCCTCAAGAAATCAGATGAGAAGTGCTGCTGAGGCTATGGGGAGAAGGGGACCTTATGCACTATTAGTGGGGTGTCAACTGCTACTCCCACTGTGGAGACCAGTATGCAGATTTCTCAAAGGCCTAACACAAGAAATTCCATTCTGTTCCCCTCCTAGGGATCTTCCCGAAAGAGCTCAAAGTCATCATATTACACTGACACACACATACCCATATTTATAGCAACACAACTCATAATAGCCAAACCTTGGAAGTGGTCTGTATGTTCATACCACCCTACACAGCTCCCGCTGGAATTTCAAAACTACAACCAAGTTTTTTGCGTTCAGACTTTTTATCTCTTTTAAAATGTGAATGCATCTTATAGCCGCATTATTGCAGCTCCTAGTAACTCATCAGATTTCTGAATGAACTGAGGTGACTCTGCAGGCTCTTCCCCTGGGTCAGGTGAGGGGTGGTGTACTGGGGAGTGGCCATGGGTAGAGAGTGTATCCTGTATAGGTCAATTGGAGAAGAGATGACTTTCCAGGATGCACTGTCACATTATGGCTGGTGAGGGTGTGTGCAGCCCAAGACCCCGAGGGCCCAGGACCTGTCCCTGCCAGTGCTCAGGGGCGCAGCAGAGGCCAGGGGCACGGAAGTGGCACTGAAGGCTCTGTCCAGGCCGATGACAAAGTGGGGTGCTGGGGACCTCAGACTGCTGACGTTGTGGGCCTCACACAGTATCTCAGGACTGTCCCTGGACCATAGTTAGAAACCAGAAGGCCACTGCTGAGTCACTTGTCCTTTTATTGCCCTGTGATTTTTAAGTTTTTTTTTAAACTTGTTTGACTCAGGTCTCTGAAAGAGTAGATTGAACTTCTGCTTGCTGGACGTTCATTTTCTCTAGCAAAATCTTCAGGCAAGCATGGAGAGATGCAGAGAGCCATTGTCTTCACTGTGATGGCTAAATAATTATATATTGCAGAGAAAAGCAAGATTGTTTGTTTGGGATCAGTCTTACTTCTGGGGTGGTTAAGAACGAAAGCTTGGCACTGTAGGCGTTGTCTAGTATTGGAGCAGAGAGCAGCCAGGTATGAGTTTTTATTTTAGACGGACTTGGGGACCCCCATGTCCCTGAAGCAATTGTCCAGTCTTCTGGCCCTGTGCTCCCCAAACTCAGGGGTGCAGGGGCAATGTCGTGGCTGGAGGCCTGTGCCTGGTATGCAGCCAACACATAGCACAGAGTGGTGTCCATGGGAAATGCTTTGTCATTGCAGTAGGACACTGTCACAGTTAATTTGAATGTTTAACTTTTTTAGTCCTACGTTAGTATTTTTAGGCATGTAGATTTGGCCTGAGGCCCCAGGCCTGAGGTTGCATTCTAGTTATATTTGCACAGCAGGTGTCAGGACACTGCCATCCCACCTCTGTGTCTCATGGACAAACAGATTTAACAGGATAGGAGCTGATAACCTGAAGTCCTTCAGTACAAGCCCAAGTTCCATCCTAAACACTGTGTCTTTAGTACTATTGGTACTTAAAATTATTGCTCATACGAACTTTTCTCCTGGGTGTCTTGCAGTCTTTTCTGACATTGCAGAAGATTATGCGAGTGACCCCAGCCCGTCTGACCCATGCTTTCTCTCTTATCCCCACTAATGTCTTTAACTTACCAGTCAGTGCTAGTGGATCCACTGATTCTTGTCTGGAAGTATTTCTCCCCCATAGCCATGTCTTCTTCTGCCTGGAGTCTTTATTATTTGGAGACCCCCTGCCTCCCCCACTTGCTCTTCACTGCTCTCCACCTCTCTCTAATGCAACAATTGGAATAATTATCCAGTTTTTACTATTATGGAAGTATGGCTAACAATAGAATTCTATGTATTTACGGTGTGGAATGGGATGTTTTGTGACACTGCTAATATGCAGTGAGACGATGAACTTGCCCGTGCCAGGGACAGCGCCCATCTCCCTCACATGCCATCCTTTGTCCGTCTGCTCCACTCTACCTGGGCACCTTCCTGGCTTCTGTTGCTTTCCAACAGTTAAGCCCAGACTTGTGTCCTGACGTCTCACAAAAGCAGCCTTATTAACAAAACATTCATTTATGGACTTCACGCGATGTGTGTTCAGTCAACACATACCACAGGTAAAGAGTTCTTAAGATGCTTCTCAGTGTGGAGACGAATAAACAGAAGAACCACAGGTCACTGTGGTGGAAAGCGTGATACTCCATGATTTGAGAGAAGAGTAGAACGTGGCAGGAAGAGGTAAAGGAGCTCCTTTTCTTGATGTGTCAGTTGGTTCACATTGTCAGGCTTTCCATTGAATGGGCGTGTTTTGGACCCTTGTTATGTGCCAGGTATTGTGTAAACTGCTGGGGAAAGAACTATCCAGAAGCGGACTTTCCATCCCCAAGGGTGGGTGACCCTATAGGGAGGCAGGACCCAGAAGGAGTGAGGCGCACGCTGTCCGGAGATGGCCAGGAGATGCTCTTGTCCTGCACTGAGCCAGGACCCACTGTCCTGGGAGAGACATCCCAGTGGCATGTCCCATGGCACTCCCCTTCTAGCAGGGACCTAGCAGAATTTTACTTGCAGATAATTTTGAAAGAAAATTAATATTCTGACCTTTATGTAATTTTTTTCTTCAGATAGCTGAGCTTGTGCTCTTTGAAAGCTCTCACCTGCCTAATTTTTTGAGCACAGTGAAGAAGTATTTGCCTAACATATTTAACTCTTTTACCTATTTTAAATTACCGTGAAAACTTTTGGGCAGTTGGTGCTCTCAATGTATCATCTAGAGGTGGAATTGTTTGTTATAGGGCACTGTGGCTGTGAAAAATAAACCCAAAGCATTCTTCCAAGGTGACTTAACATTAGCATAAAAGTTAAAAGTTCACTCTGGTAAGGGCAGCAGACTTTCTGAAGATAAAATGAAACCAAGTCTAGAGAACAAGCATCGGGGTTACTATTTTACTAACTGGCATGTGATCTGGAGAGTAGCTGATTGCGCTGGCTTCAGGAGGGGTTCGGCAAAAGGAGTTGATTGCTGCCATTGCACGTTTTGGCTCAGGATGTAGGCATAGGGGTATAGGGATGGCTGTATTCTTCAGTGTAGTTTTGCTTATTGAAATCAATTTGAATTGAAATTATGTAAATCAAAGGTAGTTTCCCTTGCATTGATCTTTCCTTGTGAGGTTTGTATGGAACTTAATGTTAGCTTTTAGTTTTCATTTCAGAAAGTATGTTGCTGTGTAGTAGTGGATCTCAGAAGTACAATTGCACACTGGCTCATACCCAACCCTAGCTGGTAATTTATAAACAAGGTCTGCTGCTGAGCTCTTCCTAACTTCCTTCACTGTGGGTGTTGGTGCTTTTCTGTGTGAAGAGGTGACTGTCATCATCTTAAGGGGTGACAGAATTTCTTCTTGGTCCCAGGTCCT